AATGTTCAAAGTGAATCTATGAACATCCTTACAAAGTTTTACAGTTCCCCCCAAAAAGAGAATATTAAATAAAAGATTATGAAGAATAAACCCACATTAGAAAAAGAAGATAACCAAGGCCAATGTACGCATCTTAGGTGTGTGATGGATATTAATTATTCTATTAATTCCCAAGCATCCACCACTCTCTGAGTCCTAGAAACTTCAAAGCATTTTGGGGCTGGAGGGTGGAAGCTGCCTGGCTCTTCATCTAAATATTCAAACTTTTTTTTAGTTATTGAGTCCTTGCCTTCAGCTCAGATCTGGGACTTTGTATGTCTTTGTAGACAGGCAGAATAACTGCAACACTTATGGTAGAGAAAATTAATAAGTTCATCTTAACCTAATTTGTGTGGCCTAGAAGGTATTTCTCAGACTCATCTATCTATGTCTTATTTTCTCATCCGTAAAGTCAGTTTAATCACAGTATCTGCTCATACTGTTGTATACTGATCAAATGAATTAAAAGATGGAAAGCTGTAGAACAGTTAAACCATGTGGTAAGAATCATGTATTAGCTAATACTGTTATATAACCCGGGTTATATGGATTTAATTCTACTTATTTGTGACAAAGCACAGGCTACTCTCCCCCATCCATCAGTTCCCTTTCCCCTTCACAGTCTACCACCCAAACATAAGGAAGATATATACTCCCTCCTCTTCCTTTATCTTCTAAAAATCTTCACTGCAAAGTCATCCTCTCTTTCTCCTATTGTGTGCTTTACTTTCCTCCTCTAGTCTTTTTGGAGACGCTCTGTAGTTGCACCATCCAATACAGTAGCCCTAGCTACACGTGGCTGCTGAGCACTGAAATGTGGCCAGTGCAAGCTGAGATGTGCCACAAGGGTAAGACACGCTGGATTTCAAGTAGCTTAAAAACAGGAATGTAAGATAACTCATTTAATAATTCTGATACTGATTAGACATTGAATCGACACTACTTTGGATACACTGGGTTAATAAAATATTTTACTGAAATTAATTTCACCTCTTTCTTTTTGCTTTTTAATTTTATTTATTTTTAGAATATTAATAAATTTATATATTTATTTTTGGTGGAGGGAGGCAATTAGGTTTATTTTTATTTATTTATTCACTCATTCATTTAACGGAGGTGCTACAGATTGAACCCAGGACCTCGTGCATGCTAAGCATGCACTCTACCACTGAGCTATGCCCTCCCCATTCTTTTTACCTTTTTACTTAAAAATTATATATGTGGTTTTCATTATATTTCTACTGGACAGTGTTGGTCTACAGTGAAGGAAAGAACAGAGAAAATTAGGAACCTAAAGTCAAGTTTTACAGTGAAGAGAATTTGAAGAAGATATAGGGCAAGGAAACATACATAGACATTCTGATAAATGGCAAGAAAACTGGAGAAGGAAAAAGCACTCTTGAACCAACAAGTGCACATATCCAATGAACTCTTAACTTCCTATTAAATAGAAAATTCTTTTAACTTTGAGAGAAGTGTAACTCAAGAAGTGCTGACAGGAACAAAGCAAAGCTTCTCTACCAAGCCACCAAAAGCATGCCTAAAATTAGAGGAAGTAGTGGGTGAAGGAACACCTCCAGCTAAAATGTAGCAAAGTCACTAAAAACTCAAAATGAAGCAAGGCCTACCGACTGCGTGAGTACTATTTCCTCAATTGTCAAAATCTTACAAAGGGCAGGGGAAGGATAAATTAATGAATTTAATCAATTCTACTAGGAATTTAAATTGAATTGCCAAAATTCAGACTATTTAAAATCTTAAATGGCTCCTCTCCTTTCACCTCAACTTTCAACAACTTCTATGCAAAATGCTTTATTACTTACATAATGTTGTTCAACAGTTGAGAACTAGAAAGATTAAACAGAGAGGTAGACTTTAAGTGGTACCTTCATTCAGTTCACACTGACTTGGTTCCCACACAGACAGAACATCACCCTGGAGAGCTGGCTGTTACACTTAGGCCTGACAGGCCCATCCTTGGCTAGCCATTTAGGAACGCTGGTTCAGAAAGCGGCACTACTTTACCCTTGACCTGATTTCCTAGAGAGTCTTCAGAATACGTTTAGACTTAAATGCTGGTACATTCCCAGTAAAGGAAGATATAAAAGCACAAATTTGTTTCGCTACAATGAATTATGAAATAAGCAAACCAACAGAGCAGCCCAGGAATACCCATCAAAGACTAAAAATGGATAAAATAAAATCCCAAAGGCCTGCAAACAAAATGGCTTTGCAAAAGGGCACATATAGGAAGGATCATGCCAACAAAAGAACTGTTTGGTTTGTACCCCTTTCCTGAAACTGTTTCTGAGATATTACCACTTATTATTACTGCTTTTTGGAAAAAAGTACCAGGCAGATAATAGGCACGCAAAAATTATTCTTCAGTTAATTTTCCTATTATATTTCATAGATGCAACGTCAAGAGAATTTTAGCATAGGAATGGACCTTAGAGATCATCTAGCTTACACTCCTTTATTTACAGAGGAGAAAAAATGGACTCCCTTTGGTCAAACAGCTCAATCTCAACCAAGTCAGGTCTAGGATTTACCTGACCATTTTCCATCTCTCCAAGCTCTCCAATTACGCTCCCCATTAACCCTAAGACTCACATAATGCAAGGTCTTAGAAGGCACAACTCCACTCAGATGCAGGGAAACATTAGAATGACAATGCTACTCTACCCAGACAAGCTTCAAGTTGAACTCACCTGTTTTTCTCGGAAGGAACGCTTAGTTTTTGACCGGACGCTATGACTGTACCGCATCATCATAAAATTCTTCTGTTTTTTCTTCTCCTTATTTGTGGAACTGGAAAATGGATTCATTTTGGTCTTCTTCCTCACAAATTCTTTTCGGTCTGTTCTGCCAGCCTATCAGCATACACACAAATACCACTTCAGGAGTTATCTCATCAATATACACATCTCCTCTGTGCCAGGAGCTCTACTGGATGCTAAGGACACTAAAGGGGGTGGAACAAAGTCCTTGCTCCTGAGCAACTCAGTTCAGTCCAGGGGAGAAATGACCATGATGTATCATAATAGGGCAAGGAGAGCTCAGTGGAAGAAAGGGTTTTAGTTCAGCCTGGTGAGGTCGGAGGAGCCTCCGAGAAAGGGAGATCCAGGAGCTGTTTTTTTTTTTTTGCAGGATGGAGGCCTTCTTGGTTGGGGGAAGGAGGGCAAAGGTAGAGCACTTCAGGAAGTAGGAATAGTATATGCAAAAGTGCGGTGAAGAAAGGACATGGGTTTTCAAACTTATCTAAAGTTTAAGCTTCAGTACAAATGGAAAACAGAGGGTGATGTGGAGCCCGTTTGGAATGGTGCCTGAAACAAGTGAAGGTAGAGAAAATGAAGCTGGAAATGTAGCCAGGTTAAGAATCACGAACAGCAACAGTACTTGCCACAGGCAGACTCCAGCTGTCTCTGGCTTTTCTTGAATGAGTGTAAATACCCTCGGGCTTGTCTAACAGCTCTGATAATTGTCCTGAGTCCCCGGTACCAAGCACACATAGCGGTGTCTTCTGCACGCTACAGCTTGTCCTGGACGGTGGTTACATGGCTATCAAGTTGTTACAACTCACCTAACTGAACCCCTCACATCTCTGCCTTTGATGCTACGTTAATTACACCTTTATCTAAAATGTAAACATAAAATCCTGCAGTTCTGGGCCTAGATGAGTTCTGGGTCACACTTCACTTTATTTGCTTTCTGTTTGAATAGCTAGGGAACGACAGGCCTCACTCACCATTGCGGTTGCCAGCCTCGTCTCCTTGTCGGACTTTGGCTTCTTGTGAAGGCGTTCAATGTCCCGAAGAGAAAGTAACTCACCCCTGGGGTGCAAAAACAACACAGTATGAAGCAAGGGTGGAAGTTCCTTCCCTAATACTCTCACTATCGTGTGAGCTGACTGAAGAGCTGGGGTTCGTGCTGTTTTACCTGGACTCCTCGTCACTGTCTACTTCAATACACTTCCTCTTTTGTGCCTTCCCGGGGGCAGCATCGAGTTCTTTCCTCATCTGGGCCATTCGGATTTTCTGGAAGTCTTCCTGACTTAAAACTCGGCTAGTGCTGACGGCTGCGGCTTTGGCTTTCCGCTCCTCCGGGGGCAAGCTGTTCAGCTTCTCGGACTTAAACCGCAGGACATGGGCTTAAACGGCTTGTGGCTCCAGTGAGAGCGAAGCACCCCCCAACACTTGGAACAGGAAACATCAGGACTTACGATTTCTTTCTGTTCTTCATCCGAGGAATGGTGCACATCAACCCACTCGCCATCGGCATCTTCCTCCTCACTGAGACTGGCACTTTCCCACCCATCTGTGTGAAAAGAGCTCACCGTTAGCACCCCACTTGATGTCACGTGCTCACCGTACACTGAAGAAACCAAGTGAAAGAAAATTTAGGTAATGAACCTCAAACAGATGCTCTATTCACCAAGAATTGAGCAATATTATTGTTAACTAAGCCACATCAATTTTACTTACTCAAGGCATGGAGAATAAGCACTGACCAAATACCTACCATGAGCTATAACTTTACGATCTTTTTCTAACCGTCAGGACTTTTTCTAACCGCCTGAGGCTGCACTGCTAGAAATGCAGCCCATATGGAAATGACAAGAATCATGTCTGACTCTACAGCCCACGCTCCTTCCACCAAACCGCGGCCATCAAAACTGCACCTGTTCATTCATACTGGCCACACAGCAAGCATCTAACTTGTCTAAGTATATTTACACGTTTGAGAAATTGGTGAGAAACAAGTTATTTAGAGAACCAAGATAGAAGATTTTGGTTGTGCAAGAACCCTGCAGACACCTCAATAAGGAGGTATTAGAGCCTTCCTAATGGAGCCACCACAGTCAGCTTTAAAAACCAAGGATACCTGCAGTCTCAGAGGATGCCCACATTCTGGAAGACAGCGTTCCAGCTCTTAGGTATGGCGTACACAACCACTCATGACAAGGCCCCAAATCTAGTCTCATAGCTTGCTACGCATCAGCTTGTATCCCACATGCTAACAGTTTCCTAAACTCCTCAGGACTTTGCTCACAGTTTGCATGGGAAGTTTCCACTATTCTACCATTGTTCGCCATTCATTCTAAATACAGCCCATGGGTCACCGTTTCCTTGAAGCCTTTTTTGAACCTCTGAGGTGGACCTGACACCTCTCCAGCCCTTATGACCCACTTTGCGTAAATCCTGTTAATGCTTTATTAGCTGCTTATGAAAGACCCTCAAGGGCAGGAACCATATCATTCATCTTTGCTTTGATAATGGTTGGCACATAGCTAATGCTAATGAAAGCTCTGTTGAAATAATGAATCAACAAACAGGAAGATAGGACCCTAGCAACCAATGCAACAAAAGCGAACCCTGGAAATCAGAATGGAGTTCCTCAAGCATTCTTCAACAAGTTCCCAAGAATTCTCCTTCAACAGGAGAGTTCTGAAGGATTGCCAAGGATTAATCTCATGACTTTTTTCTAGTCAACAAACAAAAATCCATTATCTTTCCCAAGTGTCATACAGCATGTCCTTGATAACAGGCAGTCGCCGTGTAGGACCTGAAAAGGCATGTCCTACATGAGAACATAAGTTCCCTCAGAGCAGGAACCATTCCCATTTGACTCAATGCTGGCAACAGCGTCTGGCACGCAGTCATTACTCAGTAAATATCCGCTGAATGAGTGTTCAAACAGCATAAACACTTCAAGACCAATACAGAACTAGTAGGGGTGATTTTGTCCAGGATAATGTTGAAATAAAAATGAACCTTCATTGTCTTCAGCATTTTCTTCTTCTTTTTCAACTTCCAGAATTTCTGCTCCTGGAATGTAATCTTTAGCATCTAGTTCTCCATATTCTTGCACTCTTGCTTCTACAGAGGCCTCTGTAGGCTTACCCTAAAGGAAAGGAATTAGTTGTCAGTAAGGTGCTTAGTTTGCAAAACACTGTTCATGAAAAGGATTCTGTAGGATTATGAATTTAGAGGGAGAATCACAAAAAATGGGAGCAAGCAAATGACAAAAATAATCCACTATGTCTTGAGTCAAAGTAAATCCCCCAGCCACAACTCTGCCCACTGTTTTCTTCTGATCCAGATAAGGAAACTTCGATATTTTAAGTCTCAAGATCACCATCTCTCTTTCCACTACATACATACATCTCTCTTCCTGCCCAACTTGAAAGAGGTAGTAACTGGGTAGGGAATAGCCTGTTTAGTTCCGGCATCGGCTACTGACTTGAAAGAGCCTAACAGGTCTCTGAGATTCAGTCATCATCAAAGAGCATATACCAACTACAAAATACTTAAGCAACAGCATTCAACCAATTTTATTCTGAGCTTAAAGAAGAAAACTACACGTAGCACCAATACTCCTAATGGAAGCAACAGAAATAGTAAAATGCAAATTGTAGGAAATTACTCTCACTGTCTGAGACCAAACCCTTCATCAACATATGTATGCTTCACCTACCCGGAGTTTCTTCTGCAACATCTGAGGGTTCAGTGTTCGGAAGAGCTGAATCAAAGTTCTAGCGGACATCGTCACATCTGGGAAATAACACCTTTAATTAGATATGTCAAAGCAAAGAATCTATTGAGGTAAAAATGAGTTATTCTATACTATTTTATCTACTAAGAACAACACACCACTTACTCTTATCTTTGTGTGATTTATACTGAGTCAGGTCTTGGAGAAGTTCTTCACTCATGGCTAGAGGACATCGAGCTGTTATCTCTTTTATAGCGTTGATTCTAGAAAAGGAAAAAATGAATTAAAAAAACCAAAACAGTAGTTTCATGTGGTTCAGCCCAAGAAGGTTTCCTAAAAATACTAAATCAAAAGGAATGTACATTGGGTTTTATAGGGCTTAGGTCTCTAAAATTACAGCATGGTAGAGAATGTCGATGGTGGGCAGCCTCAGAGGGCTTTGATTCCAGACAGTTCACTGCTACTTCCTCTACTAGTTGAATAAGGAACAATGTCATCCCAGTACAGTGCAGGCCTACCTCAGAGGCATTGCAGGTTCAGTTCCAGACCATTGCAATAAAGTGAGTCACACAAATTTTTAGTTTCCCAGTGCGTATAGAAGTTATATTTAAACTATACTGTAGTGTATTAAGTGTGCAATAGCATTATGTCTTAAAAAAGTACATATCTTAATTAAAAAATACTTTATTGCTAAAAAATGCTAGCCTTCATCTTGAGTAAGTCAGAACCTTTTTGCCGGTGGAGAGTTTGAAATAATGTGAGAATTACCAAAATGTTACACAAAGACATGAAGTAAGCAAATTCGCTTACAGACTTGTTGCACACAAGGTTGCCACGAATCTTTTATTTGTTAAAAAATAAAAACAAACAAATGAAAAAATGCAGTATCTGTGAAGAGCAATAAAACAAAGTGCAATAAAATGAGGTATGCCTGTAAATGATAGCAGCATTAATTCACCAGCTCTAGGGGAGATGGTACTAGGTCAAATAAGGAAAAGTTAAAGGTCTTTAGAGCTGTTATCCCAGCAATACTTTCCTAGGGAGATAAAAAGTGGCTGTTAAGCATTCTACTTAGTTATCAGGACAGATCAGATAATCCTTAAACCAGTTCTCACACTCATTAAGTGTTTCTGAATTAATCCAAAGGGCTACTGAACTGCCTTGGGATTAAAGAGTGATTCAATAACAAATCATTTGTTTCAGGGAAATATGGATTCAGGGTAGGAGACAGGAGAAAAAAACATTGAGACTGCCACACAAGCAGTCATTTGAAAGAGTAAAGTTAGTATTAAAAAAAAAAAACCCAAAACCCAAAACATTGATTAGAAGGACAAATATCTTTTCTCTGGTTCCCCCATCAAAATTCTGACCAATAAATTAAAAACACATCTTCTGAGGAAGACTGAAGTATATTTTAAACTGCTTTTCCAGAGAGCACATTATAGCTGAAATTTTACATCTTGGTAATGTAAGGCAAACCCAGTATATTAAAGCCACATCCACTGCCTCCAGGCACACTTACATACCCTACTGTCATGACTTCCCCGGAGTTCTTGTCGGTAACAAAATTGTTGGCCACAGTCATGAGTACTGACTGGATGATCTGAATGGGAGTAAAAGAAGAAATGAGCACAAGTACACTTTCCACACCGACTCAAAACACTTGAGGACGAAGGCACAATAGACTACTATGGTAGAAAAACAGCCCCCCATCTTCAGTGGAAGGATCAAGACTGAGGAAGACAGACTGAAAACTACTCCTCTTTGAGTTTCAGCCTTCTTCTTGGCTATCTTTAGATTAAATTCAACTCTCTTTTAGTATGAGCTTTCAATCTGGATTTTAAAATTTCTTTGACCTAGGAAAATCCAATGCTGTTTTAATCAAAGGGATTATCAGCTTTGAAAAATGATCACTACATTTACCATTATTCTTGCCTTCCCTTCCATAAAATTTGGCAATAAAACCAGAATTCCCAACAACTTGTCCAAAACAAACTTCACTTTTTGTAGTAAATTTTTTTTCCTTCTAAAACTAAATGTCTACGTGTATCTTCTTAAGAGTTAGTGTCTGTTTTACTCAGTTTAAAAAAGGCAGGGAGAAAAGTAACCTCAGTGGAACCCAGTGGAACCCAGTAACTCAGTGGAAAAGCCACTATGATACAGTTAGTGGCACTGCTAATCATGCACCAGATCCAAACAGAAGTAAGGTTTACAAGTTCTCACCTCCGGAGGGACTAAGTGATGAGATGCTTGCGCAGCGAACAGAAGGATCTTTGTTACTTCTAAACATGTAAGAGATCAGAAGGGTCATAGTCGGTCTATTGCCCTATTCTCAGGACTGCAGCAAACACGGCAAGCACACGCTACTGCTGCTTACTCTGCCTGGAACACCCAGCCCTCAGATGCCGCACAGCTCACTCCCTCGCTGCCTTCAGTCCCTGCTCAGTTGCTGCCTTATCAAAGTGTCTTTCCTTACCACATAATCTAAAATAGAACCCACCCCAGCACTCCCTATTGCCCTTACTTTGCTTCCTTTTTCCTCAAAATATTTATCTTCACCTGAACATACTGTATACAGCACTCTCTCTGTACCTCCCTCTAGAATGTAAGCTCTATGAAGGTAAGGACATTACTTTGTGTTCACTGGTGTCTAACGCAGTGTCCATACTAGAAATCACTGAGTAAATACAAACACAGAAACACACCATTCCTTCAAAGGGGCAATAGATATAAAGAACAAGGCCTCTGGCAAAATAAAGAAGTGAGGTGAAGCCTAACTTGTCGTTAATTTGCTTAGTGACTTGGGTCTTTCTTTTATGCTGTTTTTAATTAAGAATACAAATGAGAGCAGTAAGATGAAATCTTGCTATCCATTACAAAGATACAGTAAAAGGATAAAATTCCTTTTTAGAATTTTCCACATGAGTATTTATGGTATTACAAAAAGACTTGCTTTGAGAAACTGGTTTTTTATTTTGCGCCACCCCCTACCCCCCAATAACTTTCTCAAGTTGATGAGCAGAACAACTACCCCATTGCAGACTCTGGAAAGAAAACACACAGATTTGTTGTCTTGGAAATAGAACACACTTCCTCCTAACTCCTGTCTTTAATAATTCTAGAACAAAAGACTCCGGGAGGTTGTTACTACCCCAAAGCCGTGAAAGGAACATGGCAAGTGGGAGGCTTACCTCTTTGGTGGGGCTGCAGGAACCTCTGCACAAAGGGGTAGAAGTTGAAGAGAAAAAGCTGTGAAAAGAAGAATGCACTGACTTTAATACTCATGTAGCTAGGCTGTAGAGTTTAACTTCCCCCTAATGCAATTATATCACCACGTTCAACTGAGTAGGAATAGTTTTTTTACTTTTTTTCTCCAACAAGCATTCATGTCCCAGGGTGAATCTATGTTCTGATTAACCAAGGAAAGGAAGGCTATGTTGCTATCATTATGTCAAGAAAGAAGGAGTGTATGCAGAATAAACAAGGCGGGAAAAAAGGCAACCAAAATGCAACATCCTTCCACTTTTAAAATTGGTATGGCTGCAAAATCAACTTTTTACTCTTCAAAGATAAAGAGAACTACAGGAAGGAACAGCATTGCTATTAAAGCTCAAGGAAGGACAAAATAGTAATTCAAATCTGAATAGCATCTAGTATAATCTGATCACCAAAAAACCCAGACATCTGGTTTTATTATTGGATACCAGTCCAACTACATTGGAGGAATTACTCTGAGCAATTATCCTGAGCTCCATATGTTAGACACAAAGCACTCACATTCTGGAACCTACCTAAATAAAGGTGACAAGGACCTAGTTATTAAAGCCTTCAAGAAGAGGAACTTTGAAGATGGCCTGGTCTTTTTCAAAGTTCATCACGTGAGAATGAATTTTTTATTTTTCTACTTTAGCCACAGAGCAAAACCAGGGCTAAAGAAGTAAAAGGGAAAACGTGGGGTCAATATAAAGGTGGATGTTCAATTGTGGTCAGCTGTGAAACTGTGGTATCATTTCCATCAAGACACACTTAAATTACAAATCAAACATAAATTTAAAAAAATACAAATTTTATTTTCCTATGGAGCTCAAATTCAGGTATGACTTGAAATTGCTACACAAATGTAACAAGAATTGACCTGGTAATCCTGCTTTAAAACTGCAGCTCATGGAGAAAAAGCAATTTAATCACTAAAATGTTAAGTTTTTCTGAGAGAAAAGGAACAAATGCTTTCACTCATGTCTACTTTCATTTTTACCTTGATATATGTCTACATTATTTTATTTTCAGTAAAGAAGCCTGTTTTCTTGTTTTATTTTTTTATTTAAGAAAAACTTTTTGAAGAAAGCAACACATTCAGTGATGCTCAGAACAGCACTAGTCACAAGAGCAGAATGATAGTGATTAACCCTAAGAGTCATTTCTTTACGGCCTGAATTTTTGGAATCTCTCCTTTTCAACAATGGCAGTTAGTCTAAGAGTATGTGTGAAGTTTCCATATGTATACACCACATATTTATATATAATACCACCAAGGAGCTCTGGCAATCTAACTGAACATAAAATGAATGACCAGAGAATATAGCTTTGCTAGCATGACAATCGCCTGCTAGAGTAGTGTGGAAGTCAGGAAAACCGTGATGGGGTGAATTGCGAAATGCAGTAATAGCCAATAAAAATATCTGGGTTATGATGGCTCAGAAAAATGTGTATGTCAAACAAAGTTACATAAAAAGTAGAACACAAAATAGTCTGTCCATAAACTGAACACATGTAGAATTTAACATCCGTACTTACTGATAAGAAAACAAAGTGATTAAAAAAAATAGCTATTTTCAGAGTGGAAGATTTTATTCTTCTGTAAATTGTATAGGTTTAAATGGTTTAGAGGGATACTTCTGCTCTACCTTAGTGGCTTTTCTTTTAACCAAGAATAATTTTACTTCTAATATTTACCAAGAGAAACATAATGTAATCCAAACCTCGTGAATTCCCACCAATCTGGAGATGAGGTTCATGAGCATCATCTTCACTTCAAACCTCTCCTTAGAGGCCTCGAGCTGCTTCAGTAGCTTCTCTGCAAAATCTGGAAAAGAGGGTATCACATAAGTACACTGTGGGCCCATGGTCTGTACAACATCATCTAACAGGTGTAGAGAAAGGCAGTAGTTTGATCACTGACTCTGGTATGGCTGTGCCTGAAATCACTCTGCAGAACCACGCTGGTTAAAAATAGCATGACAGAAGGTGAAAAGATTCACACACAGGTGAATAACCTTCAATGATGCCCAAAGTTAAGTCTTATGGATGCTGAATATTTTTAGCATCCACATCCTGATTGATTCTTTGACAAATGTTCTACTTAACAGTTCTCTAGGGTCTTGCTTCCCAAAGTGTGGTCTGCAGAACACCAGTAGTTCTCCACCTGTTAACGTGTTAGAAATACTGAACCTCAGGACCCAGTCCCAGACCTACTGAATCAGAATATGTACTTTAACAGGATCCAAAGGTGATTTGTACGTTCCTCAAAGTTTGAAAAACACTGACCTAGAGGAGGGGTCAGCAAACTTGCTGTACACTGGAGTACAGAGAGCATTTAAAAGCCCCAGTGCCCAGCCATACCTCATACTGACTAATCAGCCTCTGGGGATAACAGGACCCAAATACCAGTATAGTTTTATAAATTCCCTAAGTGATTCCAATGTGTACTCTAGTTTGAGAACTAGTGTTCTAGAATAGGGTTCCCGAACTTTTGGTTTACAAAGACCAATTTAAAAAAAAAAAAGAACAACAAAAGATTGTCAATTTTTTACTTGGTCAAGTACAACTGACCACTATTGTGTTATTAAAGGCAAGAATTGCAAAGAGTTGTTCCTCTACATTTTTCTTGTTTTACTGTGGACTGGGAATCACTGCTTCAGAACATAATTCTCTAGGTTACAACCAACTAGTAACAACCAAGCATTTGTTGACTGTTAAGTGCCAAGGATTTTATATTCCCTGGTAACCTTGAAGGAAGGAAACTATTTAGGTAGACAAAGCCAACAAGGAACTTGGAAAGTCATAATTATAGTACCTTGGGGATCATGAATCAAGTGAATAGCTGAAAAGTTGAACACCTCTGGCTTTCTCTTCTTCTTTTGTTTCTGAAAGAAAGGGAGAGCAAACATTTACATTCTGAATTACAGTGATGAGGCCCTTGGGACTAAATGTGCTAATGTGCTCAAGCCTGTTATCAAGTCCACCACACTATTTAAAAAGAAAAAAAAAAAAGTCTTTGTTCCAAAAACCTTTCTTTCAACTGGAAGAACTAAAGGAAGTTTTTGTCTTTTAAGATTAAACCTTAAGAATTTAGCATCTGTGAGACTTAAAGGAATTTGGAAATAGAAACATTAAAAAACACACAAGGGCCAAATTAATGATTTTCAAATAATCATACAAAACACAAATGTACTTCATTTGCACCCTCTTCTGAAAAGACATGTCTAGCAAAGATACCCTAATACAGGCTATTGTGACCAAAACAAATGAAAGATGAATTTAATCAAAATAATTCATTCAAGTCAGATTTTGCTACAGCTGAAAACAACGATTTATCTAAAAAATTAGTGCTGGGGGTGGGGGTTTAGCTCAGTGGTACAGCGTGTGCTCTTAGCACGTACAAGGTCCTGGGTTCAATCCCTAGTACCACCATAAAAATTTAAAAATATTAAAATAAAAGATTAGTGCTTAAAAATTCACCACACGTTTCTAAATCTTTCAAAAATGCTATTTTATTTTTTTTAAATTCTTAAAGGCATTGGCTAAAACCCACATATTCTGTGTTCTAATGATTCCTACCTCATTTCCCAGGTACAAATCTCACCTTGAGCACTTTCATAGCCTTTTCCAACTTTTTCTTGTTTTTGGAGCTTTTCTTCCCTGTGGCATACTGCACTAGCAGGTCTCTTGCTGTTGGTCCTTCATCCTAAAGAAGAAATAACTTTGTAAAACTGTAAACAAGGAAAATCTACATAGAAAAAAGAGAGTAATCCTTTCAATCACTTGTTTGTATTATACTCTTTGTATGCAACTATTAAAAATAAACGCAGCTTTAAAAGTTCAAAAAAAATTTGCCCAATGTGCGTGAATAGGCACATACAAAGATTTTCACTGCAGCACTGATTCTTGTTTTTATATTTTGCTTTTAGCTTATTGAAGTACAACACCCAGACAGAATGTAACTTTGTTTTTATTTGAAAAAAGAAACTGGAAATAATTATTTATCAAGAGGAAAATGCTTAAACTATAGTACACTTGTATTTTATGGAGCCTAAAGAAATGAGGTAGATCTATACGTACTAATAGAAGAATATCTAAATGCATTGGTACATCTATATATGTCATCACAAAGAAAGCAGGTTGCAAAATAATACATATATTATTTATATATATTTCAAAGACCCACATAAGGCAATATGTGCACACATCCATATATAAATGCATGGGAAATGAAATGGTTATCTATGAAGGAACTGGGAAGTGGAAGTAAGAAAAGATCAAGAAAATTTTTATTGCATCTATAGTATCTGAAATTTTTTATAATAACGTATTATTCATACATTATTTAATAAAGTAATAACATAACAAATTAAAAGATGTTATTCCATACTCCAGTATCTTGTTACCAAAATGCTAAAATGGAAAGGGTTTTTTTCAAATTTCTTTTTAATCTTAATAAAAATATTTTTAATAAAGAAAATTTCATGACATCATAAATCCTGATTTTTCCTTTTAAAGATGCTTTACTACTCTTCTTCCTTCCTCTACTCTCAACTTCCATGACGTTGACACTCTACCACAAAAACATGGCGGCAGTAATTAGTAAGTTTATATAGTAAGATACAGGTATAGCTTTAGCACTAGGAACAAGGCTGAATGAATCTAAGTTTTATTAGTTATCTAACCAATCTTACTGAACTTAAGTGATAAATTCTGAGTAGAATAAAATCTCAGCATGGCAGAACTCAATAAAAGATAAAGGTAGCATCTAAGATAGCATGTAAGTTGCTTTCTAACTTGAACAGTCATGGCTTTTACAATCTGTACTGAGAACACAAAAATAAAACCTGATAAACTGCAAAGTTCAGAAGTATCTTTGGTTAAACTAACCTCAGATTCTGAGTCACTGTCCTGTTTCTCCTCTTCATCTTTTCCAAGAAAGAATGTCAAAGCAGCAACTAGTATCTAAAGGCCGATTCAAACAAAGTCAATTACTCATCCCAGCTGACAACAAAGAATACTTCTGCCTACATTTTACACATGCATATGAACTAGGATTGAAGGGGAAGAAAAAAAAAAACAAGAGTGGTGGGCTCTGAGCTCACTTTTCTTAGCCAGGCTCTACATAGTTATTCTTCAAGTAGGCAGTTAAGGAACTTCTACATCTCTCACAAAAATAATGGTACTATAGCCCTTCTAAAAGTCAAACATGCCCTTAAATTTCTTTCAGCTGTGTCTGAACCTGATAAAAGAATAGTTAAAAATCACAGGAAAAAACAAACAGTAAGGCTATCATTTAATACAAAGAATCTTTAAAAACTCATAATTTGTTTGACTCCTCTAAAACACAGGTAAACCAGGGAAGCAGTCTGAGTGCACAGAGAGCATGACTAAAGACAAACAGCATGTCTGCACACCACCTCCTCCTCGCACAGCCATCTCCTTCACCTGCTAACGGGAGAAACAGACTACTCACAGACCGCGCCACCGCCCAGCCCCACAGGCGCTCACCTTAGTGACCTTAGAGAAACACGCTGTTGTGATCACATTGACAGTTTTGGCATCATTCCTGGGGAAAGACAGTTGAGTGTTTCAAAGTAAATTTGTATTCTACTGTATTTGATAGCATAGACAATGGCATAAAATAAACAGTATAGTAAATATTGCTGACATGTTAAAATTCATAGCTCGTAATATTTCAAAAAACCATGGGTTGCTAAATAGTCAGCCACAGGTGAACATTTTAATTCAATTTTAGCCCAGTCTTGCATCAGAAAATCATGCAGCCATTAAGATGGATTTCTTTTGAAGAATTCTTAATGTCCTACAAACCTACTCAAGATAACTGGAAAAAAACCCAAAATGAAAACCTACAATATAGCAAAATTCCAACCACATTTTAAAATTCACTTTAAAGAAAAGACAGGAGGAGATATAAAATATTAACTGTGCATGTATCTAGGTGGTAGGACTATCAATAACTAAAAAAACTTTCTTTCTCCAAATTTTCTGTTGCAAAGAATACTACTTTTATATTAAAAAAATTAGTGAATAAGAAAAGCAAGAGACATCAGTTGGGGGCACTGTACCAACAAACCAAATTTTATGAAACATGATAATTTACATACACAGAAAAAATTGACTTGAAAATCTCCAAAAAGCAGAGAAGAGCCCAGATTTCAGAGTCAGACAGATCTGGGTTTGAATTTCAACTGTGACTTTTATTGGCTACTAAACGTAAGCTCATGAACCTATAGGTTTCATTACCTATAAGATGGAAATAATCCCAAATAAGCTGCATTACAGTTCTGAAGGTTGAGCGAGGTAAGGCAAAGTGCAAGTGCTCAAGAAATGGTAGCCAATGTTGTTAGCCATTTGGATTGCCTCTGTATTTTTTACTTCCAACTTAATCCAGACAGGGATGTTAAAGAGCTCAGGATCAAGAAAAATCATTGTGTATGTGCTCTGCAGTCATTACAAATGAATAAAGGACTATTTCTTGAGACAAGTACATATATATTACCAGATGTTTCTTCTGTAGAGCTCAATCATCACATCCAGAGATATCTTGGCTGCAGTCGCATTGCTGTCTCTTAACATGGTGTACATGAAATTCTGTAACACCTGGAGAAAAAAACAAGAACGAAGACTTAATACATTGATGGCACAATGCTGCAAACATGACAAACAAAAGGGTACTTACTATATTCACTTTATTGTTCTTGTGTTTTGCATTTATATTCTTGATATCAGTCACAATATGAGTATATAAAGTCTGAGAAAAGAAACAAAAACATACACGTGTTTACCAACATTTCTAACCTTGCTCAACTTGGAGAAAAGTACAAATGTACGGGAGGATATAATTTTACCCACTTTTCATTCTATCACAAAAGAGACCAAAAACAAATAAAACAAGTAAAACAGAAAGAAGCAGCTAAGCAAAAAGAAAGTTACCCTCAAAAGGTTATAAACATGGAGTTACCATATGATCCAACAATTTCACTCCCAGTTATATACCCAGGAGAAATGAAAATATATTTCTAACCAATGTTCATACAAATATTCGTAACAGTATTACTCATAATAGCCAAAAAATGAAAACCCCAAAAGCCATTAACTTGTGCATGAATAAACAAAATGTAGTATAACCAATGAAATATTTTTTAAAAATTTATTTTTTTATTGAAGTATAGTTGATTTACAATGTTTCAGGTATACAGCGAAGTGATAGTCATATATATATATATTTTTCAGATCCTTTTCCATTATAGGTCATTACAAGATATTGAATATAGTTTCTGTGCTATACAGTAGGTCATTATTGTTTATCTATCTTATATATAGTAGTGTATATCTGTTAATTCCAAATTCCTAATTTATCTCTTCTCCCCTTTCCCCTGTGGTAACCATAAATGTCTTCTATGTCTGTGAGTCTATTTCTGTTTTGTAAATAAGTTCATTTGTATCATTCTTTTTGATTCCACATGTTAGTGATATAAGATATACAGACGACGAAATATTATTTGGCAACAAAAAGTAATGAATGAAGTACTGACCCGTGCTACAATATGGATGAAACGTGAAAACATTACACTAAGTGAAGGAAGCCAGTCACCAAAAAAATCACATATTATATGATTCCCTTTACATGAAACATCCCAAGTAGGCAAATCTAGAGAGATCAAAAGTACAGTGGTGGTGGCCCAGGGCTGGGATAGATGAAAGGATGGAAATTAACTGCTAATGGGAATGGGCTCTTTTTCAAGATGGTATAAACGTTCGAAAACTGACTGTGGTGATGGTTGCAAAACTCTGTGAATATACTAAAAACCACTGAATTGTACACTTTAAATGGATGAATTATAGCTCAATAAAACTTAAAAAAAAAAAAAAGAAAGAAAGAAAGTCGCTCCATTTACCAAGTCCCTAACTGCAGGCGAGACAATACTGGAATTTATACAAATATCACTGTACCCAGAAATATGCTCCTCTGGATCACTTTTATTCCACAAGTCAGACCAAGAAGTACAACTGCTAAAATCAAATAGTTATAGTCTCTTAATACTTTGGGGAAAAAAATTAAGTTAATGAATATATACTTAAGTTTCTCTTTCTTAAATTTCTTTCATAAACCTTTAGCTTCTGGTCTTATCTATATAAGCAAACACAGTCACAGGGAAATATTATAACAAAAAAAGTCAGTTTTTGGAGGGAAACAATGGGAGTGCTTATAGCCATGCTCTGATTTAGCTTTAGCTAGTCAGTACATGCAGTGGAAAAGGGCAGCCAGGCTTCCTGGGCATATGTTCCTGCCTCACCACTCAGAAGCTGAGCGATCCTGGGCAAATTATTCTCTCTGTGCCTCAGCCTTTTCATCTGCAAAATAATAATAATAAACCCTACCTCACAGCGCTTTGTGGGTAAACAAATAAATCCATAAAATGCTCTGAGAATGGTAACTGGGCAAAAAGTAAGCACTCAATAAATGCTATTGCCACCATACTGCATGCACATAATGGTTGATTTTTTTCCTATTTTTATGTATCCAATAATATGAAGAACAAGAAGTTAAGAGACTCCAAACTCTACAAGTTTTATGTCACTGCAAGGAAGACTGAGATACAGGGGAGAAAAAAAAGCAATTTTGTTTTTTACCTTTCGCAGAAGCTTATCGTGACAACGCAGAAGTTCAAAGAAGAGCTCCAGCAAACTTGATGGATCGATGAGATTCTTATTTCTCAGCAAAATCAAAGCTTTGCAAAATGTCTCAGGAAGGAAAAGAAAACATACCATAAGATAATAATAAAGGTAAGACGAGAAAATGGAGCAAGTATATCCTGGAAGTGCTTAATCACTTCCACTGATGAGGCACTACTCTAGGCACTGGAACAGAACATCCTCTGCCCTCATGGACCTTACACGGGGGTGGAGCAAACGAGGGGACAGACAAGCAAGTAAGCGTATGTCTCACATTCAAATCTGTCACTAGGAAACATAATTGATACCTGGTGACTGAGGGAGGGCTCCTTTACACAGGGAGGTCAAGGAAGGGTCAACATATGATAAAATTCTAGTGATCAATGAATCCACAGAGATAAGAAAGGTGGGTAACAATAATATAACACACTAATTTGGAATAATCAGTCTGAATCTGTGACCTCACAAGGCATTCTTCTGAAGTACTGTTGGTAGTAAGAATGGCCCAACAGCAGCCAGAGCGGTCTTGCTTAACATTAATTTTCCTAAGTACCCTTAGCCCCCAAAATGTTGACCTCTAATAGTATTCTCTATTAGATGGAACAAGTAATCCTTGGAGAATAGTTGATTGCAACTCTTGGGGCAGAAAGTGAGAAAGGATTTGGAACTATTTCTGCCAGGATGCAAGGATGCTTTCAAGATGTGAGGATGCTTTCAAACACATCAGGGGCCTTGCTAAAAGGACTGGCCAAGTAGTGACAATTTGCACATAAAACATAAAAATAAAAATAGTAATGCTTAAAAAAGAAATGGATAAAAAGTGCATAAAAGGTAGTTACATCAAAGAAAGAGAAGTAAGAAAATTTCATGTTATTGACTTTGTTAAGTAAATGTTAATATAATTGGGCATTTTGTTTCTTCTGGAGAAATATAGTCTGTGTATATCTACGTAAGCAAGAAAGAGTGAACAAAATTTGGGAATGATTCAACAAGTCCTGGAAAAATAGCAAATATGCTAGGAAGAAAGAAAGTCCAGCAGTTGATAAGGATTGGTGGTTATCACAATAGCTAATTAAAAAGTGGATCCACCACTGTGTTTTAAATGATTCCTCTAAAGAGGAATGCTAATGACACAGACTCAATCCCTTGTTTCCTAGCAATCTAAGTATTTTTAAAAACCTACTAATCATCATAAAACACTACAAAGAAATATATACATATTTATTTCATAATGCCAGCAGATTATAATTTGGTTGGGTACTGTTAGCACACAAAACTTTAAAAAAAAAACTAATTATTACTTGGAAAGACACTAAGTCTCTACACTAAAAATCTCAAGTCCATATGATCCACAAGGACTTGAAAATTTCCATGTCATAAATGAAATTCTTCTGTAACAGTTCAAGTTTGAAGTCTCTTAGGCTGTGCTGCCAGGTCCTGTGTCCCAACTGAGTCAATCAGAGACTCCAACCTTGGCTCTTATGAGATGGTATTCTTTTTCTTGTGGGCCTAATCAAATAAAATCCTAGAGAAGTACAAAAGTAGAAGAATTACAGAAAGCCTGGGAAAATTTAAGAATAAGAAACAAAGTTGAATCTATATACTCAGCACTTTTACAAGTTTTGGTATAGGATATTAGTATGTTTTGTGTTCTTAATATTTGTGTAGTTCTACCAGCTGTAAAGGTGCTTGAAAAACTCATGTATGAAAATTTGAAAATGTCTTAGGTTGGGTGCACTAGAAGCAGAGCCCATTTCATTACAGTGGTTTGTTCAGGGTGTGTCCTCTTCTCAAAGGGAAGTAAAGGAAGCAGGATAGGGAAGAGAAAAGCTGAGCATCGATGTGTCCTTGGCTGGAGACTAGCTTTAGTCTGATCACAGAGAAGCCCTGGGGAATAAACTACAACACAAAGTTGGGAGAAGGGGCTGGGCTTTTGAAACTCTCGGTCAGTCAGATACCACGTATGGAGGGCCACTTCCCAGGTGCTAGGGCTCCCATTTAGCTGAACACGGTGCTTCAGAGAAAGGGCAGCTGGGGGCCATTAGCAGCCAACATTCCCCGCAGGTAGGAGAAATGCAAGCACTGGCCAGGACCCAGTATCAACCACTATGGTAACTGTTTAAATGCTCAAACTGGCTACTTAATGGGTAAGTGTATAAATTAAACATCATAAAACCTGTAACTTGTAATTAGGGTTCTTCATGCATGTGAGATCTGAAGGATGACAAGGAATCACCTATTGTAAAGAGGGAAAGGTGCATCCTGGCAGGATGAGCATGCCTGCAGAATAGAGAGATGAGAGAGAGGAGTGGAGCAGAAAAGGAGATAAGGTTAAAAACACAGGCAGGAAGATCATGTAGGGACTTACACGCCAAGTTAACAAGTCTGACTTTTATTCTAAGTGTAAAGAAGAAGCCACAGAAGGATTTTAAGGAAGGGGTGACACATTCTGATTTATTTTTTTAAAAAGATATTTAGCCAAGAGACTGTTCTCATGTAAACACATATTACATGAACACAGCGTAATTTATCAATCCAAGTACTGGTCCTACCATTCGAAGATCTGGATCCAAGACAGTGTGGTTGTAGGAGAGAAGATCTTTCAGCTCTTGAGGAAAGTTGCTTAAATGTTCTGGATAACAGTGACCAATCTGTAACAAAGCAAAGGCTCTTCTGAAGTTTTTCTTTCTCTCCTATTATTCATATGCACATATTTAGGATGTTCTGCAAAAGGAGAATAAAAGGCTGTTTCAAAGAAGTAGATGGTTCCAAATCATCTTTCTCTTCTACACGCTAATTTCTCTGGCCCCTTTCATATTTCCACTAGTTTTAGCAAATCATGTGTGACATGATTTAGAACCTGCTTTTAGGATGAATTTGAAGAAAACAAATAGCTTGAAAGCTTTGTCTGGTTGGCTCTGTGAAAAGCTCTAGTGACATCCTCTAACTCAACATTAGGAAAAATTAATATTTGCAAAAAGGGAAACTTACTTTTTTTTTTTAAATTAAGCTTCCACTCCCAAATGGAATGAGGTTGGGAATAATATTCTGCAAGCTGTGTGTAACAACTGCTCTTTGTTCTACTCAAAGATTATTTTTCTTACCTGTGCCATAAACATCACCAGCTCTGCCAGTTCTTTACTGGGTTTGTTTGGTTGTAGTTTGAAAATCTCCACATTGGATCTGTAGTGATTATACTGCTGTAGAAACTGTAGAAAAATAAAATTTAAATTGATTACCTTCTATTATATGTGCTTTCTCAGCACAGAATGAAAAATTACTCAGAAGCTTTTGATAGTGGCGCAGAGAAGAAACAGTGGCAAACTCATGTAGAAACAGTTTTCCTTATCTGTGTTCTTCAAAACGAATTTTGAAAAGTCTGAGTACATCATGGATAATCTACAGACCCTTTCACTTAGAAATTTAGGTAGTATCATACAAAGAATAGAGAAACAAGAGTCAAAAACTCAGATCTGGCCCTATTCTGCCATTTACTATCTAAATGACCCCTCTTACATTGTCTATGTATCTAGAGCACCCACAGCTGCAGAAAAATACTGGGTTAGAAAATGTAAGTTGTATCTCAAGTACACAAAGCTCTCCAGTCAAAATTCCCCTGTTCTTTTTAATAAGTAAATATTTTATTCTGGAGCTCTAGATGTGTTAACAGCCAAAAGCAATAGACATACAGAAATAATAATAGCTTCCACTTATCAGCACTTGCTATGTGTCAAACCCATCATGTACATTATCTCATTTAATTATGTTTAATCCTAACAACAATCCAGTAATTTAATGTTGGAACTCACCAGGCCTCAGTTCTATGCCCCACAGGTACTCTCCACGCTTAGCCCACGGTTTTAAACTCTGTGTGTGTGTGTGTGTGACAGAGAGAGAGAAACAGACAGATCCTCATTGTGAGAATGAGTAATTCTTTATGTTACCAGCCCTAATTGGTTCACTGAACTCCAAATTCATATATTCAATTGCCTGTCTGACATGTCTATTTAGGTGTCTAAAGACATCTTAAACTTAGCCTGGTCAAATATAACCCTTGATTTTCTCAACAAAACTGCTAGGCCTACAGCTTTCTCCAGCAGTAGGAGTCAAGAGAGAGACCTGGAGCCCCAACATGTTTCAGGCAACACCCTAACTCTCTTGGCTCCACAATACCGTCAATAAGTGAAGAGAGAGCCCCATAACTCAGTGTGCTCCCGGCAAGATCCTCACCCCGTCGGTTGACAGGAATTATAACATAAGATTCATTAAGTGTTACCGACTAGTTCAAGTTAGAGGTTTCAGAAAAGGCTGAGAAACTTGTCTGGAAGTTGGAGAGTGGGGGCAGGCCATCTGTTTCTCTACCTCTATGAGGTCGGGAGATAAACTCCAAAGCAAAATGAGATCTTCTAAAGGATTTTTCCGTGGCAGCGGGGTCTACAGAGCAGCTAGAAAATCCAAAGGGGCAGCAGATTTCCAAGAGGTGGGGAACGAACTCTGAAGCATGCCTCTTCCTTAACCCATTTTCTCCTCTCGAGGAACCCCTGAACCTAACAGCTGAACACGCGGCACGCCAGGATCCCAGCTCCACTCCACGCCTCCCTCCAGCCAGTGTCTCAACCTGCCGCGCCCCAGCGTCTATAGAGTTTCCGCGCCTTCCCACCTCCTCGATGTAGGCCGGCGGGTCCCGCTTGATCAGATTCTGTAACTGCGGCAGGTTGCTGGGAAGCTTGTTGTTGTTTCTGCTAGACATGTTGGCTGCAAACTGGCTCCACGGCGAGCAGTTTTAAGAAAACCCACACCGCTGGTAACCCCCAGCCGTCTCAGCGTGGAATCGTGCTTCCGAGTATGGCCGGAAACTACGCATGGGTAACTCGGCGGGCGGCGCCATCTTGGTTCGTAAAGCGAGCTTGACTACGGGAGCTTCAAAGTATCAAAATTACTCTCACTGCCGAAATGTTCTGGAACGCTTTAAACCAAATTCCCCATCCGCCCCCCCGCGGCTAACCAATGCTACTGCCTAGCGTTTCTGAAATAATCTGAACTGCAAACTTTTTTTCACACACATTAGTTTTTCAACCCGACACTCCTATGAAACGGATAAATGAGAACTAATAGTTATTTTATCTATTTATTTTTTAAATCCCACAGTTAGAAGCTAAAAATACCCGTGCCAAGTAGATAGCACTATCCCATTTTAGAGAGGGGAAAAGAGATCAATGACGAGTGTAAATTAGTTTTCCTGTGTAATTTTAAATACTTGTTTCTGTTTTGTTTTTAATTGTTTCAATCCAGCGTGACCCAGATAAGGGAAAAGGGTGCAAACTGGATAAAATGTGGTCATGTTGATCGGCTTAAATTGCAAATAAATTTGTATTTAAAAGCCAACTACTGTTACAATCTTTGTCAGTACTCTTCATCCAGAGTTTTAAGTTCGGATCCTGGTGAGAATACATTTCCACAATTTCACAGTGTGCAAAAATAAGTATGTGGTGAATGAACTAATGAAATAGGGTGTTGTTAATATAGAAAGACATTTAATCACTCACCCTGTGTCAGGCACTGTTTCAAGCACTTCACTTGTATTCAATCCTGAGAACAGTCCTCTAAAATAGAAATTATCTGTACTTCGCAGATGAGGAAACAGGCTCAGACAAGTTGACTGCCTAAGTTCACAGCAGGTGAGGAAGCTGGTATTTCAGTCTAGGCAGTCTTGACTGTAACTAGATGAGAAAGGGATAAGTAGCCAGATAGTTGTCAGCTGGTAAGCTTGTCTGGCATCGGTAGACGGACAGTGGTATTCCCCTGCTTGACATGGGTAATTTCACAGAACACCAACTTCAGTCCAGATCATCTGTAGCCATGTTGGAATGAACCAAAACAAGACAACTCTGTAGTCACATCTAGGCACAAACAAATTCAAGAACGCTGTTCAAACCACGATTAGTTATTCAGTCACATTTGGAAAATGACTATTCTATTTATTAATCGTTGGATCAGGTACTTGTGACATTATTAAGAGGTAAATGTAATCAGTAAATCTGTTTTAAAAAACCCATTCACAGATTTAAATTAAAAACATTTTTGGCTGGTTGGATTAGTGAAGGGAAAAATGATTTCTCAAAACAAAATATATTGAAATTATTTAAAATAATTCCTATCAAAAGCATAAACACGCACTAGGAATATTTATCTTAAGTCACTAAATGTGACTTATGAATAAAACACTCAGGCCATGTCACAAGCTTTTATTCACAATCTGTATGTCAGGCCCTATGGTAAGCGTTTTGAGTACAAAAATAATAAGCTATGGGTATTTGCCCTTAGGAAACTTACAGACTAATAAGGGAGAGAAATAGACAAACACTCTTAAAATGAATAAACGTGCTCTTAACATAGAGCCATGGAAGCAATAGAGAGGATAGCCTAGCCCAGAGGAATCAGAATGTTTCACAGTTGTGGTACTATTTGATTGAAATTCTGAAAGATGAAGAGTTTTTCTGGAGGAGGGAAAGAAATTTCTGCAGATAGATGCAGAAGCACTATATTGTTTGGGACATTTGAAGGGCTAATTCTGCTAAGAGGTGCACCCTTTTGCCCTTTTCCATCTTCCTCCTTCCTATTAAGGAGCTTGTAATAGAGACTTAACAGCTCAAGACTGGTGCTCAAGCTGCTGTCTGAACTATTTTACTTCTTTTCCCCACCCAAAAGACATGGCAAATAAAGATATAAGTCCAAACAGTGTGCTGCTTATGCAAACAAAATTTAAAATAGCCCTGTAATCTAGGCCCCTTTAATAAAGAAAATTTTAAGCCACTTGAATCCAGGTATTATGATCTATTTTATAATTTTAACAGGGTCTCTTTTGCAAAGGTATAAAGGATATTTTCTTTTCTAGAACGATTCATTTTAGGTTAAAAATCACAGGGGGCTCAGACAAAGATGGAAAACTCTTTTGCCAATTCAAGACTAAATACGGAAATGAATATGGAGTTTTCTTGATGTTGATCTGGCTAACATACATTAAACATATGTACATTTAACATTCTAAGAAATGCCTATTAGTTTTTTGCTTCCACCATTCCATTGAAACTATTCTTATCAAGATCATCAATCACCTTGAGGTTTGCTAAGTCCAATGGTCAGTTTCCACTCTTTATCTTACCTGCAGCATTCAATACATCTGGCCTCTCCCTCCTTCTAGAAATATAGTTGTTAATTAGCCTTTAAATAGTTTCTCTTGCCCCACTATTGTGTATATTCTTGTAGTGGTCAGAGGGGTCCTTAAATGGATCAGGTCATTCCTCCAGCTCCCTTTCTCACTCAGACTTGAAGCGAAAGTCCTTCAGGGATATAGAAGACCCCACGTTACCTCTCTGGGCTCCTCTCCCATTACGTTCCCCTTTACTCACTCTGCCCAGGAAAAATGGCCTGTTAGCTGCTGTCGGTGTGTCAAGCTTCAGGACCTTCACACTTTATTTCCTCTGACCCAAACAGATGTCTTGCTCCCTCTCTTTGTTTCTCTGCTCAAGTGACATCTTATTAGGAAGTCTTCCCCTGATCTCCCAGCCTACCTCCCACCCCACACTCCTTTCTCCTGCTTTATTTTTCTCCATAGCCCCTAGAAGCCTCTGGCATAATATGTATTCAATAGTTAACTATTTATTGCCTGCCTTTCTGCATTAGAATATGAGTTTAATAAGGAGCTTGCTTTGTTCACTGCTCTATCCTCACACTTGGAGCAATGCATGGCGCATAGTAGGTAATCAGTTAATATGTGCTGAAGGAGTGCATAGATAATTTCTAATTTTCCAATTGTTCAATTGTGTGCTTTATTAAAGTAAGAACTTAAAATACCTTAGATATCCACACACAAAATTTACCTTAAAATCAGTGAGTGACTAACACGTGAATTCTAGATATTGTCTCTCTCATTAGAAACCAGTGATAGTGACTATGTTCAGAAAAGCCAGGCATGTGTCAGCCTTTTTCTAATTAAAAAATTTTTTAGATTTGCCACTGGAGGGAGCTCATGCTTTTCTTTTTAACAAGAAAATTACACCATTTGACAAAATGACTGTATCCAAACTTAACAGGGAACCAGTATCGGAAGAAATTTTAGTTCTTTTCATATTTTCATTAGTTCTTTCCATTTTTTAATTCCCCCATATCTTTCCAACTTTATTATGGATTAACCCAAAATTCATCTATCCTTTCCTCCTTGGGAACAGTGAGGACTGTTGGGTTGGACTTCTGACAAATCTATCAACCCCAGGCTCAACAGGGACTAGGTTCTACCACCTTTCTTAGATTTTTTCCCTCTTAAACCATCATAGCCAAGTTTCTGAAGTCAAAATATTCCTCAAGAACCAGCTAATATTTTTTCTCTCCTATGTGGTTACACTAAAACCTCAAAGCATGGTAACATTTCAGTTCTCTTTGGAAGAATGACTTTGTGAATTGAGAGGAGATAACCAGCTCCTTTGTAGATAGACCACGGCACGTCGTATCACTATTATCTCATAATGGGTAACAGAAACAAAGGTTTGCTCTTTTCCTTTTGCCAGATTCTTGGGTATGCCAGCTGAACCTGATTCTGTTCATTGCCTTCTTCTGTAAAATCTACTGTTCCTGCTGGATTAATTTAGACTATGGTAAGGCTATTAATGTGATTGAGTTCAGGTGTTTCTGATTTTCACTGTTATAGAAACCCGTTAAGAAAATTTCCATCCTGGGGTCCAAGATTTCCTAATACTGCTACATCATTATTCCATTTCATGGGAAATAGAATAGACTGTGGATAGTATTTTTAAAAATTTTAAACAAGGTATACAAGCATTTTGGAATCTCTTTTCAGAAGAAAAGTTACAATAAGGGGAGAGGAAATGTAATGTGTATATATTCCCTGTTTGTTTCTTTGCTTGTAAATCATGCTTGCTTGCTTTTTAAAATTTTTCTATAAATTATTAGAAAGAAAACTCTTCCTCTGTTAACTCCTATGATATGAAGGTTGAGATGGGTTGTCTTCCAGGATCCACAACCTCAAGGATCCTGTTTATTTCGAGAAATAAGCATTGAGAACACCTGTCTCCCCTCCCCTGGAATGTTCTGGTTATATCCTCAATTATAAAAGGTATCACATCACCTCTTGGGTCTGTCCCCAACCTGAGGGACCCACAGGGGTAACTGGACAATTGGCAAATCCCACTTTCAGGGAGAAGGATGGAGCAATGTGAGAACTACTTGGACATCACCTGGCATTGTACTTGATAGGGAATAAAGAAAGAATGAAAGCTTTCTGGAGTCTTCTAATTTCCATCTCATGTTATCAAAATAATCTAAGACCAGAGAAGTGAGCTTCTCACATTGTGTCAGTCTTAAAGCAGTTCCCCATGGCAGTTTATCTTAAAATATAAATATATTCAAAGGAGTACAGGGAGCATCATTGTAAAAGGTGGCCAATGTAAGCCATCAGGTATCCATTAAGCAAAAACTACGGTGCACTGGACAAAACACTGAAAAGAGGTAATGTTTGGGGAGAGCCCTTAGAGAACCTCAGAAATCAGTCTCTCATGCTTCAGTTTGCAGGTGAGGAAACTGCTACTCAAAGAGGCCATGAGACTTGTCAAGACTACACAACCAATGAGTGGTGGAACCAGAAAGATCTTCCAGTCTCTTGATTCCAAGGCTGTTGGTTGTCCTTCATCTGCAAGTTTTCCCCTAGTGTTAAAAGTCTGTGTTTGGGGATGTAGTAGATAATAACAAAGATAATAGCAGCTAATACTTATTGATTGGAATGAAAAGTATATTATATGTGACCTGTGTCATTTGGGTTCTCTGGGAATCAGGCACTGAGACAGATTCAGA